CTTCTTTCCCCTCTCCTCCTCTCCCTTCGCAATCCTCAGAGGGCGCCTGGTATCCTTCAAGCTCTCCCCGAACCTCCGAAGGCAGCCTAAGGACGCGAAAGGATGCGACGCCCAGCAATTGAAGGAGATTGAAATGTGCAAGATGGAGAGGATTATTGCAACCACCAGAGGATAGGGGCGTAAACGTTTTTGTCATTGTTGTTGTTTGTTTTCAGTAATCGTCTTGGTTATTATAGTTATGATAATAGTAATAATAATAATACTGATGTTGTTATCATTACTACTATTAATAATGGTAATAAAAAATACTACCACTAATAATGATGATGATGATAATAATGATAATATTAATACTCATAATAGTAATGATATTATTATTATTATCATTAATAGGAATGATAATGATAATAATAATAATATTTGTTATTATCGTTATCATTATTATCATAATCGTTATCATCATTAGCATTATTATTATCATCATTAGCATTATTATTCTTATTATTGTAAATGTAATTATTATTATCATTAGAAGTAGTAGTAGTATTGTCTGTGTCGTTATTATCCTTATTATCATTATCATTGATATTATTATTGTCCTCACTGTTGTTATTATTACATTTTTTATTATATCTGTTGTTTTTACTATCATCAGTGTTATTATTATTATAATAATTATTACCATCATCATCACTGTTATCGTCATTATTATGAACCTATTTTGACCATAGTATTATTCTCTTTTGAATAACTCCTTTACGGTTCCTTTTCTTCATCTGTTCAACAGTTATGAACAACAGGAACATCAGTGTTCATACATGCCCTCACTTTGCCTGCGGACGACTGACTGTGTTCAAAATATGACTTCATCGATTAAGTTGTATTTCAAGGTCGATGTATCATTTGTACATACTTGTAATATACGAAATGTGATTACATCCTGCGCCAGTTATCATTCATTCAATAGGAATCATGTTAATGTAGATTTTCGTACGAAAGAAATGTTATGAAACTTGAAATTCCGTGTGTTATTTTGGAATATCCTTCTTATTTGACACAAATTGAGGGTTGGAAATGAATGTTTTCTAATGAGAGAAATCAGTCTTGCTATATACAACGGGTGAAATAAATGAGGGAAAATATGATAGGGTTGTATTTATCTTTTCCTTGGAAGTTGCATAAACACATACATATCATTATCATAACTGACCAATATCTACCCGTATGAGTTCAAGAGGTCGTCCCTAGGAGATGACGCCCCGCTCGGTCCACTCCTCGACGATGGAGAGAATCCTGGGCTTCAGCAGCGGGTTCGTGTCCACCATTTTCAGGACGTTCCTCGTCTCGGCGTCGGTGGCGTCCTCGCTCCTCT